GTCTCTTTTCGACCTCGAAAAATGTATCATGCAGTATGTGACGAAGTTCAAAAATATTTTTTAGACTATGTAGTCGTCGGAAGGAACTCTTTTATGCTTATCCGACTTTAGTCGTCGCTCTATATCAAGACCACAATGAAGATTTCAGTCCTGTTTGCGTTTCCATACTCAATTTTTTTAAAATCATTGGTACACCCCATTTTGCCGCTTTCCATGCCCTTTTTCGACTTTTAGTCACTCCGACATGAAAGTTGTGCAGACTGTGAGGTTGATATATATATATATATATATATATATATATATATTTTAATGGGAAGTTTATCTTTGGTTTAAAAAAAAAAAAAAACAGAACAACTGATGCCTACTGTCACTTATCTGAGATCGATCAAATTCTCAAACTACAACTAATGCTCTGTGGTATAATTTGTTTTATTTTCTTTTGTGGTACTTCCACACCTGTGTTTTTTCATCTATTAGCTCAAAGATAATTTTTTAATGATGCTCCTTTCTTTAATGCTACTATAATACTTATTTTTATTTGTGTACTACTTAAGTTTATATACATTACAAAAATGCACAAAAAACGCACAACAATCAAAGTGTGTTTTATTTATTACTCATGTAATTTCCATCTAGTTAATTGTAAATTTGTCGTATCTATAGCTTTTCTGTTATGCTCTTTGTAGTTTTGTTTTTTTCAGTTTTTTTTTGTTCAAACCTTCTGCACCAATGAATATAATTTTGTCACATGCATGAGTTTGTATTTTGATTACAGGTGTTATCGTATCCAATACAAAAAAATAAAAATTACTCAAATCATGCACTTTCGTTTTAAGCAAAATATAGGCCATGAAAGGTTGTATTGTTTACAAAGTATTAATTAATTACACATGGTTTAAGATTGCACAGGTTTGAGGAACCAAGATCATACTTTGAGGCACCATTAATGGAGGGAAAGTTTGACATATCAACTCCCTATACTACTTTCCCTCACACTGTGTTTTTCCTACTCACCCTTTACACTACCTCCCCCTCACAAGTGACTTGGAATACCACTACTATGTGCCATTGATGGTTCGCCCCCCTCAGGCTACAAGGTAGCACGCCTTCCAGGGCCAACACCCGAGATATTTTTTGGTACCACAAGCATACTAACCCAACCACAAACGGTAGTGCTATCTAAGCCCAAAAGGAGTCTCTACCCCACCACAGACTAGTGAATATGTTCTGTTTGTATGATATATCGATGATTGCCTTACTATTTAACGTATTTTCATCTAACATCCACTATTTTTTATACTTATATGTTGTCAAGGTCCCCCATGTCACGCAACATTTGGGGCACAAAGACCCAACTAGGATCTCATAAAACAGCCATTTCGCCAAAACGGACATATTATATTTTTTGAACGAAATCAAAACTGTTTTTTTTTGCCAAAATCCGGTCGAAATTTTTGTCTCCTGGGGGTCCGGCGTTCCCAAAACGCCGGACCCCCTACATGTATCTGTTCTATGGTTGAGACCAGATACAAAAAAAAATAAAAATAATAATAATTAAAAAAAAAAATTGTATCTGGTCTCAACCATAGACCAGATAAAAATTCCGATCGGATTTTGGCAAAAAAAGTCAGTTTTGATTTCGTTCAAAAATATAATATGTCCGTTTTGACGAAATGGCTGTTATAAGATCTTCTATATTTTTATCCCTATTGCTAATTTTTACCTATCATCATAATTTTCATCACCTATCATTGTTGCATAACCCTAAGTGCACGGTCCCATACCAATTCTCAATCCTTGCTACAAAGCTCCTCACGAATCCTCTTATTATCAACATCCCATCGACAGATCCCAAAGTTGCATACCAGAGTCACCTTTTTACTTTAAACCACTAATACCTTTTTCAAGCACTGATGCCGAGCCTCCCACTACCGGTAGCGGAACCTTCTTACTTTGTAAAAAAAAAACAAAAAAACAAATAAAAAACGAATGAGACAAAAAAAGAAGAAAGGAAAACAACGAAATAAACGGGCCGGATATATATATATATATATATATATATATATATATATATATATATATATATATATA